AGAACTGTCAAATTGGACAATACATATCAAGCTTAATCACGGATTAAAAAGTCTCTTATTTAATTAGTGCCTTTGCCTGCACAAAAAGGATCCAGTTTGCTAACTATATACATTGCATCAAACACTCATAAATATAACAACACCTCTCCCAGGTGAATCTGCCTGACGACAGGAAGTGCCAACTGTAGGAGAAAATGTGACAATCTTGTTTGATTGTGCTGTCAGTATTCATGTTTAGAGAAAGTTGGATTGATGCAAATTATAGTTGTGTTATCCTCTAGTGCAGTGTGCCTCTATAAATCGACACGCGTGTTGGAAAACTATACTATTTACATCACCAATTACGGCCCTTTGGGAAATAAAACCGGCAAGCAAATCAAATTTCCTTGAAATGCTATTTTGGCACTACAGAGAGACTCTCCTAAGTCGATTGCCAATAGTTTATGTAGGACTGCCAAATTAGATCTCAATTTCAATCCACATAATACAATTTTACTGTAAATGGCCGCGCTCTCCTGGCACCTGACTTGACGGTTTTAGACTCGACTGTCAGGGCTGTACACATGTCCCTTGGGTAAAATATGGTTAGGAATTCTCCTTCACACCAGATGAGATGAGTAAAGCCTGATAAACAGTGAGGCTTTCCCAAGGGTTCTTCAACACGGAAGCCATTTTGGCTAAATGCATGGAACAACACCTTTTTTCCCTTTCTGCTTCCCACTCCTGTCGACATTACAATTCCTACCAGCAGTATAAATGAAATTGTCTTGTCAGGCTTAGAACTTTTCTAGTACAGCTAAAGAAGAAACAGATATACTTATCACAGATTCTAACATGTCTCCCTCAAGTCAAATTGTCAGCAGTTTGTTTTTTTCTTTGAGAAAAGACAGTTGAAATTGTCAGTGATCCAAATCTATATTGGAGCTTTTCTGACTGAAGTGCATTACAAACGATTCAGAGCATTACATGGGGAAAGCCTTGACAGATCTGGATCTTGTTTTGTCAACACAAAAGCTACAGCATCTTATCCACTCATACCATCAACACTATTGACCTTGTCTTTCGAGCTCTGGCCTCATAAACTAAGACCCCTCATCATGTCTGATGCCATCCATTAGTAAAAGTCCCCTTGGCTCTACAGGCCTTGTGGAAGTAGAAGGGAGAAAGATACACTTTACACTCACAAAAAGTAGAAGGGAGAAAGATACACTTTACACTCGCAAAAAGTAGAAGGAGAGAAAGATACACTTTACACTCGCAAAAAGTAGAAGGAGAGAAAGATACACTTTACACTCGCAAAAAGTAGAAGGAGAGAAAGATACACTTTACACTCGCAAAAAGTAGAAGGGAGAAAGATACACTTTACACTCGCAAAAAGTAGGAGAGAAAGATACACTTTACACTCGCAAAAAGTAGGAGAGAAAGATACACTTTACACTCGCAAAAAGTAGAAGGAGAGAAAGATACACTTTACACTCGCAAAAAGTAGAAGGAGAGAAAGATACACTTTACACTCGCAAAAAGTAGAAGGAGAGAAAGATACACTTTACACTCGCAAAAAGTAGAAGGGAGAAAGATACACTTTACACTCGCAAAAAGTAGAAGGGAGAAAGATACACTTTACACTCATAAAAAGTAGAAGGGAGAAAGATACACTTTACTCTCGCAAAAAGTAGAAGGGAGAAAGACACACTTTAACCTCGTAAAAAGTAGAAGGCAGAAAGACACACTTTACACTCGCAAAAAGCAGAAGGAAAGAATTCATCAGTAAGTATTTTGTTATGACAGAAAACAGAACTAATTCATTAGTCATAAAGCTACTGAAATAGTTAGCTCGATCTTCATATTTCAATTATGGATATGTAGGGATTCCCATTTCCATAAGATAGAATATTACAAAACAAAATGGCGGCAGCCTGTCAAACCTACAATTAGAAGACTGTACATAGATTTACAGAACATGACCTCCAAACTGTCACTTGTCAATGGTTTATACCCAATTTTGTAAGACAATATGTTGTCCTTCTTTTGTATACAGTATGGGCAACTGGAATATAATGAATATAGTCCCTTGTATTCAGGCACAGTATGGCCTTCACATAATGACCATGTATAGAAATGGTTGAAAATGCTCCTTATACAATGACAAAATGTTCAACGACTTTCTTTTAAAATGTGTGTTTATAATTTAAGGTTGACAATCCAGATCTCATTTGTTACAAAATGGTAGGATCCTGTGTCAATCCTGTACAAAATAGCTGGTATATATTACACTGCAAAAAGGTTTGTCAAGTGGGGTAGTGTTATGTATAAATTACACTAGTTTTTGTACTCATGATGTATCACTTCTCATTCAGTTTCTTAATATAGTTCAGTAACCTTGGACATGTTGAAAATCTACTATCCCATAATAACATCTTCTGCCACTTTAAAATTTTACATAACATACCAGCCCATTCTGAAAACAAAAATAAATTTGAGATTCTCCTACCTCCTCCACACATATTTGAAATAATTTTGTCATGAAGGATACTATAACAATTTTCTGAACATCTAAAGTTTACATGAGTACAAAGCTAGGAAAATAATGCATCACTAAAAAACCCTTCACTTAAAAATCAATCAAAGTATTTTCTGTCTAGAAATCACCCTTATCTGATGGCGTCAGTTAAGAACTTGTGTTGTTCACAATATCAGAAAAGTATCACATGAACTAATAATTTTTCAATAAAAGCAAATACAAAAGAGATGATGTTGTCAGAAAATCTCAATCCAATCTCTACCAGCTGCTACCGACATTGACACAGACATGGCTAATTTAACAGAAATGTTTTGAAATGTTGTACAGAAAAACATCAAAAGGACATGACAGATTTAGCATTAAGGGGCATTTCTACCAGATCAGTCCACAGTGAACAATAGGAAAAATCGAACAAAAACCTCAACAAATATGGCCTCCTCAAATTGCTGCCTCGATATTTCCATAACAGCTACTCACCTCCCATGTCTAAAGAGTTCGACTGAAGAGAGTGTGAGGTGTACTTCATTTACGTCCAACACTGAAGGTGGTAGTTTAGTAAATTTACGCTCCGAGGCGATTGTCGATAATGACAGTACATAAACATAGCCTGAATAGGTCTATTTGAGTAAGCTGTCGTAATGGTTGGAATGATCCTTCTTGCATAAAATAGGATCAGAAGATTAGGGTTTAAATGATTGGGTCAAATGACTTCTATCTCAGTTACATATGCTAATAGCGTTATCAGAAATGTTTGAATTCAACATAAAGATTTCAAGTGAAAATATTCTTCTAAATGATGGAATAAAGAGCTTAGGCTGATTTGACTTACAGTAATATACCAGGAAAGATTGAGATCACAAACATTCTGCCAATACATAATCTCCTTTAATATACAACTAAACACAGACTGGTTGAAATATCTCACCTATTTTATATTGATATTAATCTTCAAAGTATAATCTGGACCCTTTAAAAAGATTTATTGCATTAAGTATGCAGATTTGTGTATTATATCACTACAGTATGTCTGCCAGTAGTCCTACTGCACATATACTACCTAAAAACTATATCCCCTGAAGCTCAGCTAGTACTAGATACAGAATAACACAACTCATGGTGACTCCTGAAGCCGAGCTATTACTGGATACAGAATAACACAACTCATGGTGACTCCTGAAGCTGAGCTAGTACTGGATACAGAATAACACAACTCATGGTGACTCTTGAAGCCGAGCTATTACTGGATACAGAATAACACAACTCATGGTGACTCCTTAAGCCGAGCTATTACTGAGAACAGAATAGCACAACTCATTGTGACTCCTGAAGCTGAGCTATTACTGGGTACAGAATAACACAACTCATGGTGACTCCTGAAGCCGAGCTATTACTGGGTACAGAATAGCACAACACATGGTGACTCCTGAAGCCGAGCTAGTACCGAGTACAGAATAGTACAACTCATGGTGACTCCTGAAGCCGAGTTATTACTGAATACAGAATGGTACAACTCAATGCCACCACTGAACTTTGGAGATACTACTTGATACAGAATAGTAGTGTCTGAACAGATACAGAATAGAAGTGACTAAACAGATACAGAATAGTAGTGTCTGAACAGATACAGAAAAGAAGTGTCTGAACAGGTACAGAATAGTAGTGTCTGAACAGATACAGAATAGTAGTGTCTGAACAGATACAGAAAAGAAGTGTCTGAACAGGTACAGAATAGTAGTGTCTGAACGTTTTCCTACATTGCCTTTGGTGGCTATTGACTGTGATCAACATAACCCATTAGTGTGAAAAATAGAGCTATTCAATTTCTGGACTTACATAACTCACACTGAGGAATGTAAACATGGCCCCACACCTGTACTATAAGGAGAATACATTTAGAAGTCGCCATTGTACACCTGCCCTTCAGAGAGACAAAGCCAGATTCTGATACAGATATTACTTGTAAGGAGGTTTATATGCTGTAAGCAAAGAGATCATAAATACTTACCTGCAGCCAAAACAGTCCCTTTAGTAAATATTATCCCGACATTAAACACATTTCTTTATGTCAGCCCTCAATGCTTTTACAAGCCAATCACTTGGTATTCACAAATTCTTCTTTGTTCGGAGAAAAAATCATTTTACACATTGATATTGAACGGCGAATGAATCATCATGATCGTCCTTGGTTGTGAGTTCTACCTCACTGGTACAAATATACTATGTGAGCAAGCTTGGCGTCAGCTTTCAAATTAACCATTACTAAGCTTTTCACCAACCAGGCGAGAATGAAAATGTCGGCGATCACACAACGCCAATCCAATCTATCCATGGATAGTGTTATAGGTGCTTGATTTGTAGGATCATGATCTCCATAGGAGAAACACACTATATAACTAAACGACAATAACAAATGGCACGCACACACGCACACACTGCCGGTCACATGATATAAAAACGTGGAGACAATAACAGTACTCACCCGATCGTCCCCGCTTTCGCTGTCACACTGCAACACAACAAAACAGGTCTCATTAATATTCATTATATGACATTTCAATAAGTGCAAATAAGGATTATGGGAAGCAGCGTGGAGTAGAGAAGACCCAAGTAGTGAGCTGTGGGCTGTCAGCGGTGTGGCTGTCGCGCTCTAGATATATATAGACCACCATTCAAGGCGATGAATTTTTCACAGGGAAGCGTAGAAATCCATAGGCATTACTAGGACTTGTAACCCTACATAGGATTAAAAGTGGAACATATTTCCATGTCGACTTGGCAACAGCAGGTGCTAAATCACTAACCTAGCTGGCGACACTGGTGTTTTTAACGAGGTGTCCACATTTAATGAGCAGCTTGGCAATATACCATTTATAGATTAAAGGTACATTAGGATATCAAGGCTAGTATTAATACCCATTTGTAAGTAGAGCATTAATGAATTATTTTAAATATAGACATTGAAAACTATATCTTAATTTTGAAATTACAATCTCGGTGAACAAGATCTTAATCTGAAATAAATTTTTAAATGCAGTAAATGTTCCATGTTTAAGATGGTTGCACTTTTAAATAGATTTTCTGATGTATATATTATGGAAATGAATATCTAATAATAAACAACTACACCAAGATCCTGCTGAAACTAATTATCTATAAATAGTTTAAGACACAATTAATTCCATGACACTTAATATATGCCCTGTGAAACAGAAAATTTTATTATCATTTCACATAAAGTAGAAATTAAAAATTAAAATAATTATGCCAGTTATTTCAAGTAAAAACAATTTTTTTTAAATCTAACAAAGTTGTACTTTGTTTAATGTAAACAAAATTCTGTAATCTTTGTGAGTGTACCAATATATTATATGTTTCATAATGTAAATGCTACATCACAATAAAACCTGTGTGACCTTGAAGTGAGGTTCCCAAAGCCAGCATCAGATACTGAGTTCCAGCCCTACACATCAGACATAAACCCAACATAGAACATGCAGAGTCATCACACAAGGTATACAAAATTATATTATCTGAAGGAATAAAAACGCCTGCAAATAGCTCTTATTTTATATCCTTGCAAAATCCCATTTATTGTGTTTTTATCTTTTTAAATTGCATCAGTGAAATCCATAGAACTATATCAAGGGAAGATAGGACTGAAAAGCCATTTTATCATGGATGAGGGAGGGAAAGAACTCCCTTCAGAGATATACCACAGCACTGAAGTCTATTCACCTTGGCAATAGTTTTACATAGAGCTGATAACAAAGCATGAAAATAATCTCTCTTGGGTAAAGAGTGATGCCAGGCAGTGTATACAAGGCAATGGTGGTGATAACCTGAGCTTTTCTCTCAAAACACTATTGATTTAGTAGGAAGCATCAGGGTATCTCTACTGTCTCCTCACAGCTAAGATTTCACCTCAAACTCAGGTACTGATATAGTAGGAAGCATCAGGGAACCATGGTCTCCTCACAGCTAAGATTTCACCTCAAACTCGGGTACTGATTTAGTAGGAAGCATCAGGGAACCACAGTCTCCTCACAGCTAAGACTTCACCTCAAACTCGGGTACTGATTTAGTAGGAAGCATCAGGGTATCTCTAAAGTCTCCTCACAGCTAAGACTTCACCTCAAACTCAGGTACTGATATAGTAGGAAGCATCAGGGAACCACGGTCTCCTCACAGCTAAGACTTCACCTCAAACTCGGGTACTGATTTAGTAGGAAGCATCAGGGTATATATGGGCTGTATTGTTGAGAGTGATAGGTTGACAGGGTATATATGGGTCGTATTGTAGAGAGTGATAGGTTGACAGGGTATATATGGGTCGTATTGTAGAGAGTGATATGTTGACAGGGTATATATGGGTTGTTGTATTGAAGAGAGTGATAGGTTGACAGGGTATATATGGGTTGTATTGTAGAGAGTGATAGGTTGACAGGGTATATATGGGTTTTATTGTGGAGAGTGATAGGTTGACAGGGTATATATGGGTCGTATTGTAGAGAGTGATAGGTTGACAGGGTATATATGGGTTGTATTGAGGAGAGTGATAGGTTGACAGGATATATATGGGTTGTTTTGTGGAGAGTGATAGGTTGACAGGGTATATATGGGTTGTATTGTTGAGAGTGATATGTTAACAGGGTATATATGGGTTGTTGTATTGAAGAGAGTGATAGGTTGACAGGGTATATATGGGTTGTATTGTTGAGAGTGATAGGTTGACAGGGTATATATGGGTCGCTGTATTGACCTGCCATGTTTATTGACTTTCCTGTATTATACGTCAGACCTACCTGAGGATAAACAACATCAACACTTGTTCGTACATCAATTTCACACTAGCTCCATGCTCGACAGTGCATGTTTACCCATTCTGATTGTTGCCTGCCTTGATAATGATTGGGATGAAACAACGACAAAAGCCATTACTGATTGGGAATGGTTTTTTGTTCTCCAATACTGAAGAGCTCCTACACAAAGCTTTGCCTCAAAGAAGTGTTTATTTGGTTAGGTATGCAAACACCAGAGTTCCGGATAGCAAGTGAAATCATTAACCAGAAATGTAACATGACTTTGATTAGTAGATGGGGCTAAACGATGAAAAGACTTTACAACTCTGCCGGCAGTAAAACACACACTCCACTATCTCATGATGGCTCATTAACTTGGCTTCTTTTTGATGACTGCACTTTTCATTAATACTTTGTTCTTTGAAAATTTGAAATGTATTCAAGACAAATATGGTCACTGCCATGCTCACTCCAGGTAGCCATAGCAACTGTTCCTGTTGATGTATAACCTCGATTAGGGTAGACATTCTGTACCAAGTGATGAATAGACATGATTGGCCTGAAGTAGAAACTTGGGTATTGGAGCAATTACTAATCAGAAACCTGTTTATTCTGTCAATCCTGTCAATAGAATCTGTTTATAAATTACCAAAGAGCAGTTAAGATAAAGAAATTTGTGAACTGGTTAAAATATGTGTCTCCTTGTCAGATATTCTAATGATCGAAACCATGCATTCATGTTGCCACAGGCTTACTCACAAGTCAGATCCTAATAGTAATCTGAGAAGTCAATATTTGTGCAAGAGTTATGTGTGTGATGTCATCTATTATTTGTGTGAAATGTCATCATATTTTGTGTGAAATCACATTTTGTGTGAAATGTCATTACTTTTTGTGTGAAACGTCATCATATTTTGTGAGCTATAATCCCTTGTTGTGAAGTCAGAAAAAAGATTTAAAGCTATGTTATCATCAAACTTTGTCAAGTCCATACAAATGCTTTGACCATAAAAGGTAAAGCAGCAAAAGCACCTGTCTCAAAAACTCCAATTTGTTTCCTAATATGGAGTGACCATGGTCAAGGGTTGTACTTCAGACCATAGTCAAGGGCTTCTATCAGCTAAGGACCCTTACTCTAAATTTGTCTGTGATGTCTCTCTGGCCCCGACAGCTGAACAGATTTGATATCACAGTAATTGTAATAACACACAAACGTGTGACAAAGCCAGTTTTCTGTACATACAAACAATGGCTGAATACCAAATCGTGCCCTTACAAATCACAGCTATATTGTAAGCTGTCAAACAAAATCGGTCTCTTCAAATGAAATTCCATCTGCTTTTTGACCTCTTGAGTGTGAATATGAGTCTTTACAGAACCAAAGGCTAACGTTCAGTTTGGTTTGAACAAGCTCATCAAACTGCAGGCAGTTTCAGAGCAGTTTAAGTGGCCAGACTCTGGACAATGAAGTCAAGTCTCCTTCAGCTGACAATGTAACCCATTAAGATGAGGAGATGCTCCTAGGCTTTGACACAAGTTGATGACTTGATCAACCCCTACAGTACTCTGGGCATCGGTCAAGTTGAGACTGGGGCACGCTTGACTACACATGCAATGTTGGTGTTGGCTTAATTCACTGGCCTTCACTAACGTTCATCAACAGAGACACATCAGGGTAAAATATTCTGCAACACTGGAGCAGGTGAATAGAGACCAAACACATTAGTTATCGTCTTTCTTCCTCAAGGCAAAACATCAAATCCAAGCAAAGCTGATAATTTCTGCTCCCGGCTAATTCCACATAAGGTAACAGTCCACTATTGATCGAGGTGCAATTATTTCTCTTTGAATTTCCCTTACGGCCTGTATTCCCCGCGTAGCACTAATTTGGGGTAATGTTTAATGAATAAGATATAACACTAAGCAGGATCAGTGTATGGTGTGACACTGTAATAAGTGACTACCATGTTAGTCTATAACAAAGCAGGGTATTGCCACTTACAACCAATGTATAATGCATACCATTACACCAAATATACGCTATACATTCATTTAAGGCAAATCTAGATTTTGAAAGGCCATCATGAGTGTAAAAACATAGGGAAAGACATTATGTGTTTGTGCAATTTCGTCTTCACAATCTTTTCTTACTTAAAAGTGTAATATCCTAATTTTACATTTCGTTCGTAATTGAAAGCAAGAAATTGCTGTTGGTAACAGAGCAGGTTTTGTTCCAATCCATTAACCCAAACTCTACCTTGAATTATCCATTTTCTTCTGTTAATTTGATGGCCTTTTTAGATTAATTGATTTTAAAATGTAATTATGAACTTGATGACAAAACTCAAATGAAACTTCTCTTCTCTAATTAGATTTTCTTGAATCGACTGCAATTTTTTCGTCTATTTAGCTGCAATAGTCGCTGTGTATTGATCCAGAAAAGCACTTGGAGGGATGTTTTTCCTTTACTGTTTCTCTTAGGTCTGCCTTGCTGTTTCTGATGCTAGATCTAAGATCTGTAGTCCTCGGTGACACTTCTCCAACAATCGTCACAGATGATACCAGCCATTAAATGGAGCTCATCAACCATTTGTAGTCGGATTTCTTTTGGAAATAAAACAACTTGTTCCCAATCCAGTAATTAGGTTTTCAGATTGTGGCAACTCCAGTGAAGTATGGTTAATACTTTTGATGCAGATACAGAAATTAAATCGGAAAATTAAAACAAAATGGATATAACCAGCTTCAACATTAACGGATGATAATGCTTTTGAATTCTTTAATTACGAAATTGATATGATGAGTTATTACTGTCAATACTTAATGTGTGTTTTTTTTTCTTAGAATTCCACACTTGTGCATCTGTTCTATCTTTTGAGATGATTCTTTTTTTTTGGTAATATATGTTTCATGTTACTTGATTAAAAAAGTCTGCTAAGGACCATAAGACTTACAGGTACTTATCATCTGAAAGCAATCCTATCTAAAACCTGGGAGAAGTCCTACCTAACACCTGGGAGTAATCCTATCTGACACCTGGGAGTAGTCCTATCTGACACCTGGGAGTAGTCCTACCTTACACCTGGGAGTAGTCCTATCTGACACCTGGGAGTAGTCCTATCTGTTACCTGGGAGTAGTCCTATCTGACACCTGGGAGTAGTCCTACCTAACACCTGGGAGAAGTCCTATCTGACACCTGGGAGTAGTCCTATCTGACACCTGGGAGAAGTCCTACCTGACACCTGGGAGAAGTCCTACCTAACACCTGGGAGTAGTCCTATCTGTTACCTGGGAGTAGTCCTATCTAACTAAGTTGGAGGTCTGATTAAAAATGCATTTTCAAAAATAGAATATTACCACCTCAATATGGTAACTGCATTAAAGGACATGAGATATTTTTCATATGCCACTATCTTGGAACAGGTCCAGGGAGAAAAACAAAAGCTTGACTCCAAATAAGGAGTGAGGTTACATCAGCATCTCATCAACATGGCAACTGTAGTGGCTGGACTTTTTACTGAGCATGGGCTGGATTTAACAAAATCATTATATAGTGACTATACACAGTACTTACTAGGTAGCCCCTGCCTGAACTGGAATGTGAACTTGCCTGAAATGAGAAGAAAAGAACATAAAGGGACTTGTAAACATCCAACACAGCAGGTATCATTTCAGTGTTGGCCGATGCAAGCTTTTGTTTATGTTTTGACTGTTAAATTGCTCCGACTGTTTCCTTAATATTATGACTTATTTTTTAACGTTTATCTCAAACCTAAATCCTTTACTGTATCCAAGTTTTTTTATGGTTACATGTAAATGACTTGGTACATCACCATGAAGTACTATGGTGCCTTATCACCGTACACTAACAGCTGCTCTCGATATTAATTATTTTTACAGGTTTCTTAGTTTGGCTGAATTCTTTGCAGTTTTAAAAATTTTCTTGCCTGATTTTCACTAAAAACATTACTGCATGCTACTTGTGTATATTTGATGAGTTTTTTTTTCTGTTTTTTTTTTATTAATTTTTAATGAAGTCACAGACAATGACACCTCACATTTGTCTACATGTGACAGAATCTGTAATAGGATTCAGATCAACAACGTCCCGATGTTGGAAGATATTAAATGAGATATTCCTAATATTTCATCCTTCACAGTAATGATACAGTATAAACAGTATAGAAGCTGAATAATACACAATTATGCAAAAATAGTGCAGTCTATTTTTGTGAAATATTTTTTCATCAAGTGAATAATGAAACAACAATAATTCTAACCAACAACCGTTAAAGACTACACTTCAATAATTGAAGAACACTGCGTAGAATCTGTCACATCAGTAATGTAAATTCAATATATTTCTCTGTCTAAATGCTTACAAAAGATGTTTCAAACGTAATTGATTGATGAAATGAGTTTGTGCGGAGAAACTATTTATGTGAAGTCAATGACATGTTTATTAGGTTTGTTTAGATCAATATCCTGACTTCACAGCAACTCTGCTCTACCAACTAAAACATACCTTCCTGAAAAGAGGCATAATGGGTCTGCATCGCTCAACTGGTATTCAATGTTCATCAAAAATATAATCAGTATTCATCACAAATACATTAATGCATGCGCTATTTCCATTCGAACAGGGCATATCCAATCAGATTTAACCTATTTTCGCAACAATCATCTCCTAAAGCTCAACTCTAAACACTGGCATTTAAGAACTGGATTCTAGGTAAATGTCTTTTTTTTTCTTGAAATGTGACAGGTTTTGACCTAGAAATACCTTTTCATGAAATCTCCTACCACCAGGACTTCTGGTTTATCAAAAGCAGTCTTTCACAGGTTTTGACCCCTGAGACCTTGAATATGGGTCAAGGTCATTTCTTATGGTGAATATGTCAGACTTCATCCTAGGAAAACCTATCAGCCAAATTCCATGCTTCTACACCTTTTGGTTAGTCAAATGAAATTGTTTAAAGATTTTGACCCCTGTGACTTTGAATAAGGGTCAAGGTCATTTCTATTCACAAACTTTGTTTGGCTTCATCCCAGCAACCCACTAGCGAAATACCATGACCATTGGTCTGTTGATATTGAGAAGAAGCGTTTTAATGGAAATATTGACACTGGATGTTTGGATATGCACCACGGCATAAGCTCATTTGACCCATCAGGCCAGGCGAGCTAAAATATAAGTGAAATTTCAACTTTAAAATACAATAGCCACATGACATTTGGACCTAGGACTGATGCTGTCTTATAGGATAAGTGTAACTACAGACAATAGCAGACTTACATCACTAAGCACGTCCTGTGAGGTGTGATCTGGACCATTGAGGTTGTGGTCAAGTACCTCTGTCTGATCACTTCGTGGACTGCCCAATGGTTCCTCAAATGGGTTGCCAGGTAATGTTGGAGAGTGTGGATTGATTTTCTGGAAAGACAAAAACAAGTAATTCCTGTTAGAAATGAAAGAAATCAGATATACAGGGGATGTGGTAAACAGCATTTCTTTTCCGTTGACTTTCCTGTAGTCTGTGCCTTCATCATTTGCGATTTTTCTAAAAAATATATTGCGGTATATAGCACATATATAAATCTGAAAAAAGATGAGAAAACACCTTTTAGCTGAAGGTTTAGGTCTATATCATGACATAACAATACCAAATAAGGTGAAAGATGGCCCAACATATTGTGCAGTTCAACAATTTATACTACAAATGATAAGTTACCAGACTTTTTTGCTTTTAAATTTCTCTTATCAAGATGGGATTAGGGAATGAAAAGTAAGAACAGTTATAGGACAAATGGCTTTATAAAAGCTGTCTTGATTGTCTGTGAATGTCCCTAAGCACAATAGCTCGGTAACGAAGGTTATGGAGCACATTTTCTAGCCTATGACGGCATAATTTGCCAACTAGGCATACAACAAAATGTCTCTCGATAGCAGAAAACGTCATAAAAAATGGTGGAAAGGAAGACGTAAACTTGCAATCTATAAAATGTGTTTTGAGCACAGTCTGATAATGACTCAAGGGAGATATTATTAACCACTAAACTCGGCACTAAAAGCTGTTCCCATTTAATGTGTTTCTATATTCCCAGAAAGTGCTAGTCCCTGGTGTCTACTCTAGCAGGCTCTATCTCGGCAATCCCACATACAACACGCTCCCCGGACGACCTAGGGTTAAAACAATTGGTGACATCTTAGTATTTGTTTTTTAGGAGCGCACTATCCAATAGAATCGATTACAAACTCAGCCAAAGTGGATTACCACTCCTCAGAGTCGAGGAAATGTCACAACCAATTTTCCATTTGGATATCGTCGTCCAAGCTAATGTGACGATAGTTGTGTCAATCACCTTGACTATGAAAAATCACCTCATAGACACACCAAGCTGCAGATGGCCCTATGCAAACCAAATATCATTTTTACAGTAATGACAATTTAGTGTCTTTCCTGAAGAGGCATGAACACCTTGAGTGAAATGTTTCTGAAAAGGTCAAAGGAAAGGTATGTTCATTTGTCATTGTTTGGAAAAATGATTAAAAGGAAATAAGATACTAGCTCAATTACCCGAAGGTGATTAAAACTTAGATCTACTTCAGCAATTAAAACCTGCTTAACAAGTAACAATGACATTATGTATAATGATAGAAATGTCAAGTGTATGAGTGTACTCTACCAACTCCACATTGAAGGCACACTTTTGTACTTTTAACAGTACTTATGTTCTTCGGGATGCTGGACCTACAGGAGGACACTGTCACTGATACATAGTTGATCTTTTAAGAGTACAGGACCTAAGGGATGGCAAAGTGACACCAGACAATTCAGAGATAATGAGAAATTTTAGAGTTACTGGATCTACAGCTGCACCAATGGCTTATAGAGGCTCTTAAAACCGTTTAGCGCTGGGTAACCAGGTAAAAGTGAGTCAGGAAGTTAGAATCCTTATGGGTAACCAGGAAGTTAGAATCCTTATAGGTAACCAGGAAGTTAGAAACCTTATGGGTAACCAGGAAGTTAGAAACCTTATGGGTATCCAGAAGTTAGAAACCTTATGGGTAACCAGGAAGTTTGAAACCTTATGGGTAACCAGGTAGTTAGAATCCTTATGGGTAACCAGGAAGTTTGAATCCTTATGGGTAACCAGGAAGTTAGAAACCTTCTGTGTAACTAGGAAGTAAGAAACATTATGGGTAGCTAGGAACTTATGGGTAACCAGGAAGTAAGAAACATTATGGGTAGCTAGGAAGTTATAAATCTTACTGGATAACCAGAAAATAGGAAGTCAGGAAGTGATTATTTCTTGCTATTTTTTTTTTATACTTCACACTGTGTGTTTCATCATTTAGAAGATTTCACCAATCTGACATTAAATATCTTTAAAGACTTGAAACATTTTCTTAACAACTTGTATTTCATTTTTGTCACACCAGTAAGGAAACTTTGTTCACTTGTTATGTCAATCAAAAATTTCCCTCAAGTCAGTTTCCATGATGTATGTAACTAACAGTACCAATTGATTTCATCACACCAAGCCTTGTCAAGGACAGCTTGCCTCTACACCAACAATCATCCATCATGAAAACGGCTATTTTCATTTGATGTACAAGAATGTATTTGCACAAATCATGGTATCAGCTGTACAATTTTTCCTACATTTTGGAGAAAATGATACACTGCCTATGGCATCTGAATTTTTTTTACTGTGGCATGTAATTTTCTATCGACATCTTTAATGCCATTGTACAGCTTTCATTATGTGCTGCATATATTGGGAGAAAATGAGTAGGTTTTGAGAAAGCTCTGACCCCAATTGAGTTCATTGGGAGGTGGAAGCTGTAGTTAACTAGTTATACATGTGAATATAAAGGCTAGATGACTGTAATTAGAGGGTTAACTAGCGCCACTAATGACAGCCATCAGCACAACAAAGACGGGGATAAGACGGCTCTTCCATGTAGAGTACAGTTTTGCCCTCGGCATATCGTCCCCGAGCTCCCAGTCGCAAAACCCGCATGTGTCAGCAGCGCTCACAAACACCATCACACGACAACATGTCTTCTGTTAGCTAATTTATTTTTCAATATAGATTTTTTTTCTCCTTAAAATCCAATTTTGAAATGATCATCTCTTTTGTTTTTATTCCACCATTACTATGGTTCCAGTGTACTGTGTTATGTATGGAATGAGATTACGTAAGTACAGCTTGATTCTCTGCCATTTCACAATGTAGGCACCACCACCTCCTCTTCCTATCATAGATAACAGGTAACAATCATTGCTCAGGTATACCCTTTCACACCTGGACTGATGACCACTTTAAATTTAATCAAATTTCAAATTATATCATATCTAACAAAGATGTATGTATCCTAAGCATGCAGTGTTTATGGATGTCTGTTCTTCGAGTGAATTTTGATTCTTTAACCCTGACCATGGACCAGAAAACTGAGGTAGGGTACTCATCTACTATGGTAGAAACAAAAATCTCTATATGAGTTGATAATATCTTCCGTACACAATCTTTTTACAACAGGTGATTACACAAGTAATTGATTACTAATTAATTAGAACTTCCCAGTTATCTTTATCCTTCAGATTTCTAAAACTTTGTGTTTTGGAATAAAAATCAACAAAGCCGTGCAAATAGCTGTAATTAAATACTACACCTATGTACTATCTCTGATGGTTGACTGCACTGCATGGAAACTAAACTGTGATAGAAATCCCCACAACCAGTATGACATCTACAAAATCCTATATAACACTTGGTTTACAGGCACAGCCCACTGGTAACCTCTCCACAAATATATACCTAATTCATCCCTTTTATCACTTTAATTTCCCAAGCTCAAATTTCCTGTAATGCATTTTTGATGGGAGAACATCGCATTATGTAATCTCCAACAAGATTATGGGTATATACATAGTGACATCTGCCTAGAATCAATACCTCGTCTCTGTTCAGGGCTGCTTTTATTTCCACAAATACTCAAATTCTCTAGCTGTTTTTTGATATTCTACACCTCCAATTCCATCCAATCTATTGCATTTATATTGTTGTGTAAGCCATTACTCTTTTGACAATTCCATGTCTATCCATCTTTTGTCTGGCCTTAACGTCTCTTGGTTTTTACAATACTTCTTCCACCTATAACCATATAAGGAATATATTGGTTTTATGCCAATCAACTGTGACATTCAATTGTCTAGTTATTTGTTTTCATCATGACCTTTGTGCATAAAACATTCATCTGCCCTTTGTTTTTTTTATGTATTTTATTGTATTTTACATGCCTATATGTAGTTGTGTAATGCATTTTTGTCCCATGACTCTTGTCTGTCCTCTTGAAAAATAATCTTTTTCTGTGTTTATGACCCTTGTCAGTTTTCTGTGAACACATCCTTTAGCTTTGTTCATGAACTTTGTCTTCTGTGTATCACCTTCATCTGCAAACATGAGCATCTATGTTCTCTGTAAATATGACCTTTATCTTTGTTCTTGACCTTTATCAGTCCTCTGTGAACATTTCATTTATCTGTCCTTTGCTGACATCACCTTTGGCCTCTGTTAACATGACCATGACCTTTGTCCTCTGTACAAACAACCTTTTTCTGTCCTCTGTCAACTCTTTGTACATGACCTTCACCTATAAACCGCATTTCTTTGTTGTTTGATGGCAGTGAACTATATTTGTATGCTGATGTTGTGTGACGGCAGTGAGCTATACTTGTATGCTGATGTTGTGTGACGGCAGTGAGCTATACTTGTATGCTGATATTGTGTGACGGCAGTGAGCTATACTTGTATGCTGATGTTGTGTGACGGCAGTGAGCTATACTTGTATGCTGATGTTGTGTGACGGCAGTGAGCTATACTTGTATGCTGATGTTGTGTGACGGCAGTGAGCTATACTTGTATGCTGATGTTGTGTGACGGCAGTGAGCTATACTTGTATGCTGATGTTGTGTGACGGCAGTGAGCTATACTTGTATGCTGATGTTGTGTGACGGCAGTGAGCTATACTTGTATGCTGATGTTGTGTGACGGCAGTGAGCTATACTTGTATGCTGATGTTGTGTGACGGCAGTGAGCTATACTTGTATGCTGATGTTGTGTGAGGTCAGTGGACTATACTTGTATGCTGATGTTGTGTGAGGTCAGTGGACTATACTTGTATGCTGATGTTGTGTGAGGTCAGTGGACTATACTTGTATGCTGATGTTGTGAGGTCAGTGGACTATACTTGTATGCTGATGTTGTGTGAGGTCAGTGGACTATACTTGTATGCTGATGTTGTGTGACGGCAGTGAGCTATACTTGTATGCTGATGTTGTGTGACGGCAGTGAGCTATACTTGTATGCTGATGTTGTGTGACGGCAGTGAGCTATACTTGTATGCTGATAGCGTACAAACTTTGT